TTCTTAGCACTACTGTTCTCATTTTGCTTTTCCGTGTGTTCTTATTCAGCCCTTCCTACATTATATACATTCTATTGATCTAAAACAAAAATAAACGAAATTTAAATCTAGAGAGTGCAAGTTATTTGCACTGGTATGCTCGACAATAATTGTAGTACTTTAGCAATACTTTAAAATAAGTCTTTGTACTAAACAAAACTCGAAATTCGGGAAAGAATCTTAAAAACACAAGCACTGCTGGAAAAGCAACTTGATGAGAAAGAATTGGAAAAGCTGCGATGTTGATTTCTGCAAAATAAAAAACATCCTCGTTATGGTAGTGGCAATGATATCAACTCTGGAGAAATGGCTAGTACTAAAATATGAAGGATGAGATTTTTGAGGCCTAAAACGGTAAGCAAGTATTTCTGTTTTCTGACAAGCAGATCCCTGTATAAAAAATAAACTATGGGAATGCTATGACGGTTTCTTAGAAATAGGTAATCTGGTATTTTAGAGAGTTCTTGCATAAGTAATTTCTGATATGAATTTACAACGAGATATGTGATCATCCGCAACCGAGATTTTGAAGTAAAAGAAAATTTTATGGAAGGGCAGAAGACAGTAAGACAATGTTAATCGATCAAATATTCATACCACATCGCAATATTATCAACATCAATATACAATGTTATTGTCTGACTGAAAATCGTAAGTTGCCATAATGATCATAAGATTCATGTAGGTCCTATACCTACACATTTGGCTTGCGTATTTATTTGCAATCATGTCCTGGTCTTTGGCATTTTCCGTTTGAATTGCGCTTGAAGCCATCTTTGCATTGACACACGTCTGGTACGCACTCCTTGCTGCAAACCACATCCCCCTGATCACCGCACTTTGGCTCACAGGTAGTCCCACATTCAAGGAATTGCTCATTTTTGGCACATTTTCTGTCTGAAAGAGAGTTATCTGAAAACAGTTTCATCTCTCAACTTCACACTCTCACACTTCAAATCCCAGAGGCCATGTCTTCAGGGAAAAACCAAACTAGTTTGTCAGTTGTAGTGGGTGACATGCGACGTATAGTCTAATGAGCTGAATTACAAATCTTCCTCATAGTTAATAGCCCTACCTGAAGCTTTGTGGTTTGTCCTCTGTAAATTTTCAAAAAAATTCCCATAGATGGTCTGTAGCATTAGAATTATGATTGTACTAAGATATCCAGAAAGTCTTGCAAATTTTTCTACGATTTTCATAGATTTATTCTGTTTACTGTAGAACGGCGGAAAATCGTTAGCAGCTTTACAACATAACATGGTACAGCACATCAATTTAACATTTTATGGCTTTAAATTCATAACAACAGCTGCGAACACTTCCGTTTTATGAATTGTTACAGCTCACCAACGCCACTGAGGTTCAGTATACTATTCAGTGCTGTGTCTCAAGGAATCTCATTACCCAACCCGCGTATTGTTGCTGCAACTATCTTGGATGTAGACATATCGTAGTTAGGCTACTTCTTACTGGGGAATGCGCTAAGGATGCAGTTTGATCCGTTTTGTGGAGCAAAGTGTATATCTAGACTGCCAAGGGGTTTGAGTTGCTTAGTGCTAGGCAAAAGGAAAATGAAATATTTATGATTTTTCGCGTCGTCTTAAGTCAGTGAAAAACTTCAAGAATAACCCGTTGGTCCAATTTGATAATAAACATCAGTTAGCTTAAATGAATATCATTTTGACAATTGACGATTCTTTGGGTCGTTGTTTTCAGAGTATGTACCATCCGCGGAACATCTACTATGCCTTGTCATAGGTATAGGGTGCTTATATTAGGTCAAAAAAAGTGGAAATGATTAGTACTGATCAGATCTCAGTATATGGACGATAATCATAATAATATCACAAAAATAAGTACTCATTACAACGAGAAGTAAACTTTGGAAATCTGCAAGACTTTTGGAATATCCTGACGCAATATATTGGTCACAGAAAATGCCATGTTCACCAGAGGAGTTATGTTCGTTGTAGTTCTCTATCACCAAGGTACGAAGAGCAGTACTTCACTTTTCCCAATGAACCTATGGCTCTTGACTCCTATGCTATGACGTAAAAATCGTTTTCGAGTGCAATAATATTGTGTTTCTTTTTAATCTACGTCTAGTTGTTCGAAACATCTTCTAGCTCAACTAGGAAGCATTAAGGGATGAAATGTTTGAATTCAAACTCACCCATGCAATACATGGTAGATACTGCAGTAACGAGCAAAACGCCAAGTACGCGAGACATTATTCCAAGCAAAGATATTGAGTGGGGAAGAATAAATTTGTAGCGTAGCTACGCTTGCTGAAAGGTTGCTAGGACCATCATGAGACTTTGAAATTGCCATGTGGTCAGACGTATGAAATCTTTTCAGTGGAATGATCCGCTCGCCTATGATGTCGTTGTCAATACATTCCTAATTGATTTTTGTGTTCTATGGAAAGGTTAAGAAATTTTAGTTTCCCGAGACAAAAGCACTTTACTTTCCCTTTGGAGAGGTGAAAAATTGCATTATAAGGCAAATCCAGAAAGTGATTCGTTGGATTTACAAATTATCTGACCTGTGGCTAATGAAAGCGTGGAGAACAGCGATAAAATTATTCGTGTCTCTCATAGACAACCAACACATACGCGGTATACTCAAGTAAAACTACGGCGAAAGTGTCGCATCTACTTAGTTGTCGGGTACGTTCTTACCGTTGTCCAAAACGCGAGACTCTTCCAAAATATCAGAAGCTTTGCATTATGTCATGGGTCAGTAAATGCTCTATATCATACAAATGAAGAATCACTGACATTTAGCACCAAAAAAACACACTATCAGGTAATTTCGGCTTTTTTCTAGACCCAATTCAGAAATAATATACCGTTTTAAAAAGGTCGTGGTTTAAGAGGAATCATCAAAACAACTAACCTAACACGCAGTAGAGCTTCTGCAGTGCACTTAAGGAAACATCTGAATTTTCCGTAATGGTTTTTTTTTTGAAGCACTCAATCACGTTAGTCTATTCTATAATATTCTATACATCCATTTCCAAACCTTGCAAAGTCTTAATGATTCATTTTGAAAGGCTAGTTAAACTTTTTTTCATTCGTAAACTATTTGTACCTTTGATGGGAATAGAATTGTAGATTAATTAGTGCTGGAGTTAAAGACTTATCTAAACATGGTACAAAACCTTGATGGAGTGTTTACTCTTAGCTACTCAACAACCTCAATGAAACGAGTTCTCTCCTTTGTTGCCAACTGTTCTAGTTCGTCTCGCGATTTTACGCCAAAGTTAAAGCCATAATCTTTGTTAGAAGCTTCTACATCAATGGAAATCTAAAATGTTAGCCCTTCAAAATGAATAAAAGGCCTTAAAAAGGTAAGGAAGTGGGAAAAAATTATCAAAAACCAAACAGTGATCACCGCTTTGGAACACCCTGCACATATGGTTTTTATTATCAAAATTACTGATTTCAGACGATTTGGAGACTTTGACTCTAAATCGCCCACCAATTGTGATTGTCCAATAAGGCTATATTGCACAATGGAATCTCCTTTAAGTAAAGTAAATCTAGCCAACACGCAAACATTAAGCAAAGATTTCCCCAGAACACTGAAGAAAGGAGTATTGGAAGAACTTTTTTCATATCTCACATCTGTTTCCACACTCAAATTATCTAAAATACAATGCTTGTTAGAAAAAGTGCGACCTTTCTAAAGCGAAAGTTCTGATTTTGTAAAGTACTTCACAAAATTCTGTTTTTCCTCAGATAAAAGAAAGAAACTTATACGGGAGCCTATTCTTAGCCCAACCTCAAAGACTTCTAGCCTATAGTTTTTTGTAGTCGTTAATTGGTACTCTCCCTAAACAACGTACCACAACGTCTTTTTGCCAGTCTAGGACCAATGTTTTGCTGCCAATTGTGAAGCCCGAAACTATGTAGCAGTTTCATTATTTTGCTCTCTTATCCAGCAGGTTTAGGAAATTGAAGTTGTTATTGAAAAACAGCACTTGCAAGGGAAAACACGGAAGCAGTAGAAGTTGAAGAGACTTAAAATCTGACCTTTCTCTTCCACAGAACTTTGAGCAAAAAATAGGTGGAATCTATATCTACAATTCCTTTTTTTTAAATATATGCAAACGATTTGCGCATTTGCAGTGATACACGTGAGTAGCGAAATAGCTGATGAGCATTTTTGCCTGATGGAAAAGACTGGGACAGCAAATTCTTACCTAATCATTCTGTCTTCTTTGAAAAATTAGCACTCCTCAACGAAGCAACGTCGCAACCGTGTTACTCCAACGTAGATCATTTTCCAACAAAGACCGACAAACACGACTGGATGGAAGAAACCTTTAGAACCAAAATGTTATTTTGAGAACTTTTTGCTGGTCCTGCTTAAGAATAAATTGTCTTATCAATAGTCATAGCCAAAAGAAAGAAAATCACAAGAAATCCGTTAGTTGGCGCAGCAGAGATTGAATACAAACGATGTCACTATACATCGCTACACAGCTAACCCCATGTGTATTTGATATATTTTATATATGATTGACTAACAAAAGGTTGCTCGATGGATACACATATTGCTCATTTCAGCAATTTGACGAGTACAAAGAGATAGAAATTAAACACGCAGCATGATAAGCTTAGGTGATGCGCTTAGGTTAGATACATGGAGCCACGGCTTTGGCCACCTTTATTAATGAGTGAAGAAAGAGTGAAACCCTTACCTAAGAAAGTTTGAGTAGGTCAAGGTGTTGGGCAGAGCCCGGGACCTTGACTCTACACATTAGAAATTTGAAGATACTAACCAATAGAGGGAGGAAATTTTCACTTTTTTGTTCACGAAATAAGATTAAGATATCGTA